TTTTTTTTAATTAAAATTCTATTTGAGTATAGTTGATACATAATATTACTGAGATCTTAAGCACTATCACTGGGCCTTAAGTTTGTTTTCAAAAACAGATGGCAATTAAATTTTTTTTCCATTTTTAAAAATTTTTTTATGTTATGTTAATCACCATACATTACATCATTAGTTTTTGATGTAGTGTTCATTGTTTGCGTATAACACCCAGATTCATTGTTTGCGTATAACACCCAGTGCTCCATTAAGTACGTGCCCTCTTTAATACCCATCACCAGGCTAACCCATCCCCCCCTCCCCTCTAGAACCCTCAGTTTGTTTCTCAGAGTCCATAGTGTCTCATGGTTCGTCTCCCCCACCGATTTCCCCCCCTTCATTTCTCTCTTCCTATTATCTTTTTTTTTTTAACATATAATGTATTATTTGTTTCAGAGGTACACGTCTGTGATTCAACAGTCTTACACAATTCATAGCGCTCACCATAGCACATACCCTCCCCAATGTCTATACTCTGTTTTTAAAAAGTATTTTTCTAGTTTACTAACATCCTTATCAGGACTTATATTAAGACTCGGTATTGAATATGTCAAAATTTTTTTCTGACATCTAAGCTAGGGAGCTTAGGAGAGAAGCAAATTCTACTTTGGATGTATTAAATTCAAGATGCCCGGTAAACATCCAAGTGGAGATGTCAGAATGGAAATGGGTATATGAACGAGCAGATCAGGGGAAGGGTTATAACCAAGAAGTCATTGGCACATAGATAATAATGAAAATATGGGACTAAATAAAATTGCCTATGAAGGAGTGTAGGTGCAGAAGTTCCCAGGATCGAGCCCTGGGGTTTACCAACATTTAGAAGTCCAAAAGAATTAGAGGAGACAACAAATAGACCAGAAAGGAGCAACCAGGAAGGAAGGAGGAAAAGCAAAAGAGTGTCATATGGCTGAAGAGAAAAAATTGTTTCAGAAGAGGTGAAAGTTGTTAATTCTATGGAATGCTTCTGCAAAGCTGATTCACCAAGCCTGTGGGGCATCTGCTATGTGACAGGCTCAGTGCCTGGTACTGGGGTTATCAAAAACCAGGCATTGCCTTACCTCAAGGAGCTTAGAGTCTAATAGGGGAAATAGATTTGTAAATAAATAAGGCAATACATTATTGGCACTGTGATAGAGGTGTGAGTGAGGTATAGTTGGAACACAAAGGAAGCTATGATCCTGGTTGGTCATCTTTGATCTGAATTTGGAACGGTGAATAAGTGTATGTGGACAAGGTGGAGAAGGACAAGGTAGGCACAGGGAGCAGCATGAGCAAAGGTAAGCAGAAGTCAGACATCTTTGGTTATCTTTAAGGCTAGAGCAAAGGGTGGAGACTACAGATGTGGGTAAAGCTAAAGAAGATGGCAAGAGGCAAGGTCACAAAGGGCCTTACATGCCCTGCCAAAATTACACTAGGGGTTGGAAAGACAAGTAAGATCAAGAAGACAAGATGTTTCAGAATGCTGCCAAGACCACTGCTGTTTTAATGGTTGACCATGAAATCCAGGCTAGCTAGGAAAGCCAAAGAAATCAGAAGTTATGATTAATAGAGCCTGAAGAATAGGGAGTAAACAAGGAACTGGCGGGTGCAAAGATGAAAAGCAGATGTGAGCCAGAAATATTTTCTACTTTGCCAGGAACTCATGATTTCTCGTATCTTAAGTCCTATTGTATTCTGAAATTCCTTGACTGTTCAAAAGTTAAATTTAATTGGAAATTTTAACCCATCTAATTGTGTGTATTTTAGAATGGAGAGTCAGGACATAAAATGAACCGCAGTCTTCTAGATGTCTCCAAAAACATAAATCCAGACTACACCATGGTTCAGGAACCAATAACAGGGGAGGAGTTGGAGCTAGACCTGGAGCTGGAGCCCACACTGGAGTCAGAACAAGAAGCTGGGCTGGATCTAGAGCTAGACCTGGATCATGAGATGGAGCCTGAGTCAGAGTTAGAGCCTGAATCTGAGCTAGAGCCTGAATTGGAGCTAAAGCCTGAGTCTGAGTCCAAACCCAGACCAAGGGCTCATACTTACCCTCGGCAGCAGTACTGGCCTCTGTATCAGTCCATGCCTCCCAGCTCCCCAAGTCAGGATCGGCCTAGGACACAGTCATTGGAGAGGAGGCGTCAACATAAGAATTCATATTCACCCAAGGGCAATAAAACTGTGGATCCTTAGGAAATGAACTGGGAATAAGGAGTCAGATTCCCTTGGCAAATCCTCCTTGCCCGAATGGGTTCACTTGGTCAGAAAACCTAGCAATTCTTGTTTTGGGACCCTCTATCTGCTAGCCTCTTGCTTGCTCAGCACTGGGATCTCACTCCCAGATCACAATACTAAATACCAAGAATTATCTCTGAATTCCCTATCTAGGCTTACCTCATTTCACCTTCAGCAGATATTCTAGTGAAAGATTTCCTTCTTTGCATACCCCATACCTCTGGGGATATTGTCCAACCATCTCTAGCTTACTCCTTTCATCTGTTTCCCTTTCTCCAAAGAGATGAGGCTCAAATAAAATATATAAATCTACTTACATTTGGACCCTTCCTTCATCTTTTCCCTTCTCTGTATCCTGTATGCCTAAGGAAATATTGGGTGGGAGAAATTCCAGAAGTGGGTGGACATGGTGAAGAAGAGATGAGCAAGAAAAGGAAAAACTGGGTAGCACTGGTATTTTATATGCAATGTATCTTCACTGCACTGATGGTGGAAATGCAGAAATAGGTAGGTTAAGCTAGGCCAGCCTGTGAGGCTTGGAGTACAAAGAATTGTTAGGCTGAAAACAGTTTTGCCATCACTCCAAAGTCAGGATCTTATCCAACCACTGTTTCAGAAGACCAGTCAAGCTGTACCAACTGATGAAAATGTTAGCTTATAGAGGTATTAGAGTTCTCTTTGGTATTCAGATTCACATTCACCACTGCTGCTTTCTTACAAGTTTTTAAGGTACAAGCAATCTAAAATCTGATTCTTGGTGGACCAAACTTAAAGTCTGTGACAGACACAAACCTCTTAGGAATTGGAAAAGTCAGTCATTACTAGTTTGGTCCAAATCCATGCAAAAAAATTCCCACTCCCCTGTTAAAAAATATCTAGTATTAAGCTGTAAGCAGAAGAGAAATAATGGACCCCTGGGCAAAGGTATATGGAATCCTGAATTTTATTTTCCGCTTAATAAACAAGATTCCTCTTGCTTGGGTACTCAATTTCTCTCATCTGTTAGGTAAAAGAAATTCTTGTTAAAATATAGGTGTCTCTTATCACAGAGATGACATGTGCAATCACTCATTCTACATTCACTAAGCATCTGCTCCATGCACACCCCAAACTGCGGGGTAGATAGAACGATATTAGCCCTACTTTACATGCTTAAACTGAGACTCAGATAAGTTTTGTAACTAGCTCGAGGTCATATACAATTGTACCCTAAAAGAGGTGGGAGCCCACATCACAAGCTTCATTTGTTCATGTTTACTCAATACATTTATTGAGTACTATATGCCAGGTACTGTCCCAGGTGCTGAAGATACAAGATGAGCAGAATAGATGACAAAAATAATTACAAATTGTGGTAAGTACCTTGAAGGTAAAATATAGGAAAGTCTGAAGGCATACATCAGGAAGGCCTGAACCTAACTCGGGTGTCAAGGAAGTCCTCCCTATGGCAATGACCTATGACCTGGCACCCGAACGATGAGTAGGAGTTAGGCCTAAACCAAGTTCCAATGACTGCTAGGAGGGCAGAGCCAAATGGGAGACCAAGAGTGGTGACCATGGGTAAGTACAAAAGCTAGGCACCCAGGAACACAGCCAGATGGAGGCTAGTGGTAATTGCTCTGGCACCAAGGACTTAACCAGAAACTGGGTCGAACTCAGAATGAATTGTCAAGGTGGCAGGGACAGACATAGAAATTTGTCAAAACCAAGAAAATACTTCACACTTAAAATAGAAGACTAGAAAGTACATAGAGAGCTCGGTTTCTGTGGGCTGCCACCCTCTCACACCAGCTGCCTTGTATTGTCACATTTCCATCAGAGGAAGGTCTTTAAACTTGGAATCAGTGGCTTCTGATACTTGGGCAGCAAGTGGTAGAGTTTAGACTCTGGTCCTTTCTGCTGCAACTGCAACTTAGCCAAATCTTACCTTTGGTACATGACCTCAGAAGGACCCAACGAGGTGCTTGGATTACAGTCTGTCTTTCACATCCATCCTTTCCCAAAGTAGTAAGATAAATAAAAATGGTTAATTGATTGTAAATAGTACAGCATTAAAGAAAATGTAAACTGAGTAACAATTCAAAGGCTGAATCTTCTTCCAAAATGCAGATCACCTGCAATTCTAAGACATTTCAAACCTTATAAAATACTATGGTTTGGGTTGCTTAGCTCACTTTTCATAGCATGGTTGTCATTGCAGCTTTTTTAAAAAAATATTTATTTATTTGACAGAAGGATAGCGAGAGCAGGAACACGAGCAAGGGGAGTGGGAGAGGGAGAAGCAGGCTTCCCGCTGAGCAGAGAGTCTGATGCAGGGCTCGATCCCAGGACCCTGGGATCATGACCTGAGCCAAAGGCAGACACTTAACGACTGAGCCACCCAGACACCCCCATCATTGCAGCTTTTATCTTCCAAGGAGAGACCAGAGAAAAATACTAAAGACTGAAAAACCAGTACAGACTGGATCTGAAAGTTTAGTGTCTTAGCACAAAGTTTTCTCCACCACTGAAAAAAAATACCTCAAAGAAGCTTATGATCTACAGTAAATGGGGGTTGGGGTATGATTTTTAAATGTGAAGAACTAAGTGGAATCACTAGACCTGCAGAAAAGTAGGTCTGGAAAAGAAACTGGTCAAAATAGGTAACCTTAGGTAGCTGTGTCTAAATATGTTGAATATCACAAAGCCCAATGAATTGTAACAGGAAGTCTCACCCATATTTGATTTAGATGATATTTAGATGAGACTTTGGACTTAGACTTTTGAGTTGATGACATGTGAGAAGAACAGGAATTTTGGAGAGCAGGAGTAGAATATTATGGTCTGAATGTATCCCTCCAAAATTGTATGTTTAAATCTTAACCCCCAAGGTGGTGGCATTAGAGGGTGGGGCCATTGGGAGGTGATTAGATCACCCTTATAGTTATTAATGGGATTAGTGTCCTTATAAAAGAGGCCTCAGAGAGATCCCTCCTACTTTCCACCACCACCTCCCTTCCACAGCAAGAAGAGGGCCATCTCTGAATCAGGAGGTGGGTTCTCACCAGACACCAAATCTGCCAGCACTCTGACCTTGGACTTCCCATCCTCCGGAACTGGGAGAAATAAATTTCTGTTGTTTATAAGCTGGCAGCCTGTGGTATCTTGTTATAGCTGCCCAAATAGATGGGATACCATGGTATGAGGCTAAAAGGATGAATAAAGTATGATGTTTGCCCTCAAGGAGCTTCCAAACTACAAACAGGCATTGTGGGAGGGAGTGTCATGGACTCCTAAATGAAAAGGTGATGATGAGAGGGAAAGTACTGTGGAAATAGAGATGGCAGGAGGGGTTAGAAAGAATGCAGATCAGGGAAAACTACTGAGAAGAAATGACATTTGAGCTGGGCATAAATATGTAGGAATTGTCAACTATACATCAATTAAAAAGTTTTTTTGAGAGGTGCTTGTGTGGCTCAGTCAGCTGGGTATCTGACTCTTGGTTTCAGTTCAGGTCATGATCTCATGGGTTGTGGGATTGAGCCCCGAGATGTCCTCCACGCACAGCGCAGAGTCTGCTTATCCCTCTCTCTTTGCCCCTCCCCCCTCTCAAATATCTTTTGAAAGTTCTTTTTTTGAAAAAAAAATACATAGGAATTATATAATAAAAGAGGAAATACACAGTACAACCTATGAAATGATCTTGCCAAAAAAATTAAACCTGAATATTATCAATACTGCAGATCTAACTGCCAGACTATAGGAAATACAGGGGGCAGAGGAATCTGTTAAATGATACTAAGTAGAGTCAATCAGTGGAACCCAAAAAACCTCAACAGGACAAATGAGCCAGTTTCTTCAACAAATAAATTGAAAAACAAAAACAAGGATGGAAAATCTATAAATTCAGAGTCTTAAAGATGGAATGTGTGGACCTTGTTCCGATCTTTATTTGAACTAACTGGAAAAGAACATGAGAAAACTTCTGCTTCAGAGTAAAATGTAGTGAGAAGTGACAGAGCATCCCTCCCTCAGTATCAAGAAAAAAATGAGGGGTGCCTGGGTGGCTCAGTCATAAAGTATCTGCCTTCGGCTTAGGTCATGATCCCGGGGTCCTGAGATCAAGCCGGGCGTTGGGCTCCCTGCTCAGCGAGGAGCCTGCTTCTCCCTCTCCCACTTCCCCTGCTTGTGTTCCCTCTCTCGCTGTGTCTCTCTCTGTCAAATAAAATCTTTTTTTAAAAAAATGAATGAATTATGAAATAGTTCAAAAGATACTAGAAAGTTGTAGAAGCCAAGAAGAGTAAAAGAACTCAAAGTTAAGAGAGAAAAGACTCCTTCCTAGGTAAGTTGAGATTATTGGCCATTTTTTTCTTAAGGGTTACTTGCAGAATCTGGAATCAAGTTTTCCTTAGGCAGAGGGGCTCTGCCCGGAAAAAACAAAAGAAATGAAACTTTTGATGGCCACTTAAGTAGTTATGGCAAGTTGACTGGTTTCCTCTTTGAGACATTGGCTGAGTGCCAGGGCCACTCAGGGGACTAGGGATTGGCCTGCAAAGGCAAAATGAAATCTACCAAGTCTCAAAGTACCTTTGTCTAGAAAACAAAGTCATTAGAGGAAGTGGCCTTTAATAAGCATACAAAAGATCTTGCCCTTGAGACATTTGAAACCAGAGGTGGACTGAGTCTAACTAAAGGCATAACACAGCTCAATTTCTAATACAATTAGGATGATCAGTCCTCACTTTTTTTGCCTAATAAGAAGTATGTATCCTATGTGGGAAGAAATAACATTGACTTCAGTCTCTCTTTTTTGCACAACCTCCAGCATACACTTTTTTAAAACTGCAAGGCATTTGAAGAGGCAGGAAAAATGTCTGACAATTAAGGAGGAAAAAAAGTATAGTGGTGCCTGGGTAGCTCAGTTGGTTAAGCGTCTGACTCTTGATCTCAGCTCAGGTCTTGATCTTAGGGTCATGAGT